ATTCTCATTAAAGTTTACCTCTCCCGACAGTGAGACTTCATCACTGATATTTCCCTCACGTACCGAATCGATCACGATCATGCGCTGCATGCTATCGCTTAATACATATCCGGTGCTTCCCACTTTCTTTTCTTCCTTTTTACCACAGGCTGCAGCCAGTATCGTGCAACCTGCTATTATCAGAACGCTATAACGTTTCATAAATCTTATCTTATTTGTGTATGGATGATTAGGTGGGTTATTGAACGACATCTGCACCAACCTGGTAGTTTAACTCTTCTTTAGCCAGTCTTATATTCAACTCCTGTAACAACTGCTTTTCACGCACTTCTTCATAGTCGTTGAAGTAGTCAATAAATTCCAGCAGGTTGATCTGCCTGTTATTATAGCTTTCTACCACATTGTTATAGAGTTGGGCATAATTGCTGTAAAACTCTTTCTGACGGGTATTGGAAAGGTTAACGGTCAGCAGGAGTTTCCGGTAGGCATTCATCACCTTATTCTGCAGTTCTATATCTACCTGGCTGAAAGTGGCCTCCTCCCTTTTCACCTGGAATTGTGCCGCCTTGATATTTCCCTGGTTCCGGTTAAATACCGGCAGCGGAAGGTTAATGCCCAGTCCATAATAATTGATCACATGGTTACTCTGCCGGTCAAAATTGGGAGCCAGTGTTACATCCGGAACGGCTAATGCTTTCTGGTAAGACAGGTTCTGCTTCCCGTAAACAACTTGTAATTGCTGGAGCTGGTAACTGCTGTTCGACTTCTTAGCCTCTGTAATCATTTGCTCTACATTGTTTTCAGGGAGCACCTCCAGGGTTGTGTTGTCTGTAACCGGCTGTATATAGGCATCGTCTGACACCTGGAGCAACGTACGCAGCTCCGTCTGCACATCAGCCAGTTTACGGGCATTTTCGGTTTGCTCAAGTTCGGTATTTACGCGAAGCGCCTGCACCCGCAATACATCTTTTTTAGCCACATTCCCGGCGTTGAACTGGGCTTCCATCCCGCCGATCAGCTTATCCAGTTGTGCGATCTGCCGTGCATAGAGTTTGGAATTACTCTCTAACTGCACCACCGTATAGAAGTAGGTTCTGAGCTGGTATTTAAGGTTGCGCATCAGATCGTAAAACTCCCATTGGGTAATATTGGCATTCGTGGCAGCCAGCTTTATTTCCTTGCCTCTTTTACCCGCGGTGCGGATCAATTGTTCTATCTGGATGAAATACTGCCCGAGCGGATTTCCATTGGCATCATTTCCATGACGGAAAAATCCATTGTTGGTGTATACATTCTGATCTGTATTTAAAGTCGGGTTATCCCATAAACGAGCCTGGCGGATCAGGGCACTATCGGCCTGCACATCATAATGCTTGGCTAATAATTGCAGGTTTTGGGTCAGAAATCTTTCTTCGGTTTGCCGCCTTGTTAAACGGAGTGTATCGGATTGTAAATTGCTTACCTGCGCATAAGTTCCTGTACTGCCAAACAGCAGCAGGCAACCTGCGAGACACAAGCACTTTACAAGCATCGGAGCTTGCATATTGTATTATTTATTGTGGGTGGAACTATCTACGGTTGCTGCATGCAACGCGTACTACCGGAACAACGCATGTTGTTTCGCTGGGAGAAACCTGTTTCCGCTATACGGCAATTTTAATCTATCAATGCGCCATTCCGCGGCATTATAAAATGCACGGCAGCATAAAGCAGCAGGGATACTACATTGTTTGTAAAAGAAGAAACAGGAAGGATCAGGCTTTGGGGGGCGGGCCGGTTATTTCGTGCGGCACAGAAGCCCATTTGGCTTCCGGACCGGTCATAAAACCAGGCTTACTGATCCAGGCAACGGATGTTACCTTAACGGCTGGTTCAGACGCAACGAGCCGGGGCACTATAAACATTTTAAGATGCACCACATTGAACTCGTGTGCATGGTCATCGTCTTCATCCTCCGGGGTATCATCCTTGTTGCCAAGCACCACCTGGTCTACAAATTCGTAGGTACTGTTGATATCATCATATTGTACACCCTGTGCATCAAATATATCCACCTCTTCCATTACGGGAATAAACATGGATGTATTCACATGCAGCAACATTAATAATATGGTGATAATTTTCCTCATGAAGGCTGGCAGCAGCAGGTTTTCACGTTTCCTGATGCAATAATAATA